CTGTGTTCTCTGACTTCTCTACCCTGGTGGGATGACACAGAACCCGCCTTGCTCTCTGAACACAAGGGAGCTCTTGGCTGAGTGAAGGGACCACAGGCTGTGGGAGGGTTTGGCTTAGAGAATTTTCTGGCTAACAGAGGATGAGGCAATGATTCCATCTTGATTCCTGACCTCACAGAAAACCCTTAAGAAACACCACTCCTCCTGGTCTCCATGGGGAACCTCAGTGCGGGGAAGAGAAGGTGACCCTTACCTGCCGGCCGAGGCTCATGGGGTCCGCACCGCTGCTGTTCAGGATGCAGGCAGAGTGCAGGGAAGGAAGGAGACAAGCTCAGGGACAGTTTGTTTGTTTCCACCTGCAGACTTGAGGTGTGCATCATCTGATGAACGCTATGCCTGGGTTCGTGACTCGCCAGCCATGCGTGGCCCTCTTTTGCTATTATTATTATTATTATTATTATTATTATTATTATTATTTGAGACAGTCTCTCTCTGTCACCCAGGCTAGAGTGCAATGGTGCCATGTCGGCTCACTGCAGCCTCTGCCTCCTGGGTTCAAGTGATTCCTCTGTCTTGGCCTCTTGAGTAGCTGGGATTACAGGTGCGCACCACCATGCCAGGCTAGTTTTGTATTTTTTTTTTTTTTTTTTTTGAGATGGAGTTTTGCTCTTGTTGCCCAGGCTGGAGTGTAGTATCATGATCTCGGCTCACTGCAACCTCCGCCTTCCAGGTTCAAACAATTCTTCTGCCTCTGCCTCCTGAGTAACTGGGATTATAGGTGTTTGCCACCATGTCCAGCTAATTTTTTGTACATTTTTTTTTTTTGGTAAGGGTGGGGTTTCATCATGTTGGCCAGGCTGGTCTCGAACTGCTGACCTCAAGTAATCCACCTGTCTCAGCCTCCCAGAGTGCAGCGATTACAGGCATGAGCCACCATGCCTGGCCTAATTTTGTATTTTTAGTAGAGATGAGGTTTCGCCATGTTGGCCAGGCTGATCTTGAACTCCTGACCTCAAGTGATCTGCCTGCCTTGGCCTCCCAAAGTGCTAGGATTACAGGTGTGAGCCACTGCGCCCAGTCTATTATTATTATCATTGCTGATACATTTAGTTTTAATTTTTTATTTATTTATTTTTGAGATAGGGTTTCACTCTGTCACCCAGATTGGGGTACAGTAGGGTGATCTAGGCTCATTGCAGCCTTGAGCTCCTGAGCTCAACTGTTCCTCCCACCTCAGCCTCCCAAGTAGCTGGAACCACAGGTGTGTACCACCACACCCAGGGAATTTTTGTATTTTTGTAGAGATGGGTTTCACTACGTTGTCCAGGCTGGTCTTGACCTGCTGGATTCAAACAATCCTCCTGCCTCAGCCTCCCAAAATATTGGGATTACATGCAAGAGCCATTAAATGAGGCCTAGTTTCTTTGTTTTTAACATCACAAGGCATTCCCATGAATGCACCATGCAACCCAGGAACTAGCAAAATAACTAGTGTGTTCCTACAGACTTCTGCAGGATTGAGTGCCTCTCATTCCTTCTCTGAAAATAGTCGTGTTACATCTACATGGATGCCTGAGCATATTATTTGTTTGATTTTCTTGTCATCATTTTGATAAAGAATTTCATGCTCTATGGAGTCTCCAGTACTTGGTTTTTTTCACTCAACCCAATTACCAATTAAGTTGAGTTTTTCTTCCAATGTGTATCTTTTCTCTTTTGTGAAATGTCTATTTCTATATTTTTGTTCACTTTCTCATTGGTGCATTTATCTTTGCATTAATGATGTCTGGTTTTAAACATGTAAATATATATACGCCCACATACTCACATGTATATACGCATTATATGCATACATATACATGTAATTAATACTAATGCTTACATATACATATCATAAAATATCCATCTTTTATGTAAGTGCTTTGTGTATTTTGTTGAAGAAATCCTGGGATCACAGGAGAGCTTCTCACTCTGGCTCATGGTGGGCACTTGACATATAGCATGAATGAGTGAATGAATGAATGGAGAAATGAGTGACTGAGTGGCCAGCACTTCAGTCACACTAAGAATGTTAGGAGCAGTCATTTATCCACCTCCCCAGGCCCCACGAGGAGAGCCTGTGTGTTAGTCGCAGCAGCAGACAGCTCACCTGCCTGCCTCTTGTGCAGGTCCCCCAGTGAGCACAGGGCCAGGGCACACCTTGGCCAGTGCTCCAACCCTGGAACACACACCGCAGACCTCTCTCTGCGGCCGCCTCCTGGAGCTAGCAATGATTCTTACTTTCCAGGGCTGCTGTGGGGGTTAAAAGGCTCAGATTGGGAAAGCATTTGACACACAGTAGCTGGTTTATACTATTAGCTAGTATTGATCGCATCATTGTCATCATCACCTCAGCACAGAGTGGGCGTTCAAAGATTGTCTTTGAAAGACTGAATGAGCCACTATGTCAGCTCGGCAATACCACTGCGTATTTTATAACTGAGGGCCGTACACTCAGCCACTGAGTCTCTGTCTCAAGCCTCATTGCTTTTTTTTTTTTTTTTTTTTTGAAATCTTGTTGCTAATGTAAATAACATTTTGATTAAAAATAACATTCCACATTAAAAAGAAATTACACGAGGCAGCTGGATTCTTCTATCTTTTTTTTATTCAGTCTGTTGCAATATGCTGTTTTGGCTGAAGAATAGGAGGAGAACCTGGCATCGTACCTACAGGTAGCTAGAAAAGACATGAGCATGTTACTGGCCTCCTCAGGTCACACGGGGGATCTTGTGTGACACCCACGGAAGTTTGACAGCTGGGGTTTCTTTGATAAGGGGTGGTTGATGAATGATTGGTTATAAGTGGAATTCCATGCCCGTGCCTTTTGTACTCTATTCCATTACAGTCCGTCGGTTTATCTTACTTTGAGTGGACGTTTTACCCACGCACGATTTCTTTAAACAGCTTTATCGAGATGTAATTCATAGGCTATACAATTCAGCCATTTAAAGTATATAATTCAATGGTGTCGAGGGTGCGTTTCAGTTTAACTCGGTGGATTTTGGTGTATCTGCAGTGTGTGCAAACATCACAGTCATTTCTGGAACATTTCATCACCCCTAAAAGAAACTGTGCCCTTTAGCGACCACTCTTCTGTCCTCCTTCCCCCACCCCACCGTAAGCAGCCACGTTTCCATGCTCAGCCTCTTTAGAGCGTCCTGTTCTGGACATTTCCTATCCATGGACAACACGTGGCCTTTCGAGTTTGGTTCGTACACTCAGCACCAAGCTTTCAAAGGTCATCTGTACATCAGCGCCTTGTTCTCACAGGCTGCCTGCGTTGTGGCAAGCGTCAGTGCTCCCCTCCTGCTTCCGGCCACGTAATAGGAGGCCACTGTCTGGAGAAATCACACCTCATGTTTCCAGCGTCCACTGATGGGCATTTGGGTGTGTCCACTGTTTGGCTGTTGTGACTAATGCTGCTGTTAACATGTGTGGACTTTCATTCCTTCTTCCTAACGCCCCAGGTGGTATACAGCCCCAGGTGAGCTCTGGCTAAGGCTGAAAGCCATTGGTGTGGCGGTACCTGATGGATAGGGGCAGTGTGTTCTGGACAGACTGTGGCCTCCGAAGACCCATATGCTGGAGCCTCAAACCTCCACTGACCGTATGTGGAGACAGGGCCCTGACAGAGGTGATTAAAGTTAAATGAGGTCATAACAGTGGAGTCCGAACCCTATAGGGCTGGTTCCTTATGAGCAGAGGAACAGACTTAAGGGATGCACACACACACAGGAGGATGTTGGGGACACATGAGGACGCGGCCAGAAGACAGCCGCCTGCAAGCCAAGGAGAGAGGCGCATGGAGAATCCAACCCTGATTTGCATTTGCAGCATCCAGAACTGGGAGAAGACGCATTTCTGTTGTTTAACCCCCTGGTCTGTGATCTTCTGTTATGGCAGCCCCAGGAAACAAAACTGGTAGCTGCAGAAAGGACTGGATAATTTATTGTCCAAGCTAGGGTGCTTTGAGTGCAAGGGGGGCGCCGCGAACCCAAGGACCACAGCTCCAGGCAGATTGAACATATGGGACACCCTGCTGGCCAAGAGCCCCCCCCCACTTCCGCTGGGAAACTCACTTCTCCTAGACTGGCAATCACCTTCCCAAAGACTAAGTAAAGAAAGCTACCTGCCCCTTTTCCCCATCTCAAGGAAGGGTTAATTAATATCTCTGACGTCCCAATCACAGAGCACTTAATAACTTTCTCACTTGCGTCTTTGGGACTTGGGATTTGGTCAGACGCGTCTGGGAATGGAGAGCACCCGGTCTCAGCAGACCCTCCTCCCGAGTCCAGGTTTCAAAGAATGTTTGTCTGGTCTATGTTTTCTGAAACTCAGTGGAACAAAACAGAAAATAATATGAGAACAGAGACCTCATTGGTCAGATTTAGATTCAGCCATCACAGAATAAATTTTGGCTACGTGAATGAACAAACGAATTGAAGAATGACTGAATCTAAACTGCTGATTATTCAAAGAGAAGTTAACCCAAATATGCGTGGGTTATTATTTTTCTCCCAAGCTTCTTAGAGGCACAGGCATCTCTGTGTCACACGCAGCATTTAGCAGATACGCTGTGTACGGTCAGTAGTCACTGAATTCTTGCTGAATAAGCCACAGCTCTCATGAACGTGTGTGGCTGTCACACAGGATTTCCTACATTTCCAACCCTCTTCTGGGACCCAGACACTAACTTTCCACAGGAATACATGGGGTCATTTGGCTCCTATAGGCAAGGAAGTCAAGGAAATGTAGTTTTCAGGTTTCTAGCCCGTAAGAAAAGGAGAGAATTGGGAGGGCTAGTGATGGTGCTGAGAACTACAGAAAACAGCCAGTGACCTTCAGAGATTTTCAGTGAAAAATTGTGCATTTATATCTTATGTATCTGTTTACATTGTGAAAGCCTGGTGAGGGCAGGGACCAAGGGCGTTTAATTTACCAAAGCAGACTTGGCAGTAAACACCTGCTGCATAAACATAATAGACACTCGCTGCCTGTCCTCAGGTGTACATCAATTTCAGTCCATTTCACTGATAGTGGACCTCAGTGGTGACTGAGAGTTTCCATCAGAGCAGGCTTACAGTTCATCCTCAGCCTGGTCCCCCAGGCACGCTTCTTCCTCTCCCATTCTCTGGAGGTGAAAATCACGGTCAGGGAGGTGATGTTACTGGTCAAAGATCATTCAGCTGGTAGGGGATGGAGGTAGAACTTGAAATTATTTGATTAATTCCTAAAAAAAACCCTCCAAACCCAACACCCAGAAACAAAAACAAAACAACAAAATTGTGTTTCTTCTGAGTAACATATGCTTCCTCTTGCTTGATACAAGTGTCTATGTTGATTTCACGGACCTGCGTGTCCTGGGGAGTGGGGGTGGGATGGCAGGGAGGGACTCGTCCTTGGGAGGGGAGGGATGGGGGGGAGGGACACGTCCTGGGGAGGGGGTGGGATGGGGGGAGGGACGTGTCCTGGGGAGGGGTGGGATGGCGGGGAGGGACGTGTCCTGGGGAGGGGGTAGGATGGGGGGAGGGACGTGTCCTGGGGAGGGGGTGGGATGGGGGGAGGGACGTGTCCTGGGGAGGGGCGGGATGGCGGGGAGGGACGTGTCCTGGGGTGGGGGTGGGATGGCGGGGAGGGACGTGTCCTGGGGTGGGGGTGGGATGGCGGGGAGGGACGTGTCCTGGGGAGGGGGTGGGATGGCGGGGAGGGACGTGTCCTGGGGAGGGGGCGGGATGGCGGGGAGGGACGTGTCCTGGGGTGGGGGTGGGATGGCGGGGAGGGACGTGTCCTGGCAGTGCTTCTCCCCAGTGCAGACCCTGGCTTGCTATAGCCACTTTCTATAGCTGGGGATAAAGGAACTCCCAGAGTTCATTTAGGAAGCCCTGGGCCTGATTCAGCATTTAAACATCTGCTCAGACACAGGGATCCGTGTTGCCCTCTCAGGAGCCTTCTGTTGGTGCCTACAATGAAGAACCTTCATCAGAATGCAGACCCAGAGTCAGGAGGAGTCAGCCTCCTGGAGACTCTGCATTTGCCTCCTCACTCGCTGAGAATTCCAGCAGCACTGGAACAAAGGGGTGGTGAATTTCTTAGCTTCACAACCCTAACCCAGTGCAAATCTCAGCCAGTAACGTGACTTGGGGCCTTGGTGAAATAGGTATAGATAAAAATGTATAAGAAAGCCACACGCAGTGGCTCACGCCTGTAATCCCAGCATTGGGTGGCTGAGGCAGGTGAATCACGAGGTCAGGAGTTCAAGACCAGCTTGGCCAGGATGGTGAAACCCCATCTCTATTAAAAATAAAAAAATAAAAAAATTAGCCAGATGTGATGGCAGGCTCCTGTAATCCCAGCTACTCAGGGGGCTGCGGCAGAGAATTGCTTGAACCCAGGAAGTGGAGGTTGCAGTGAGCTGAGATCATGCCACTGTACTCCAGCCTGGGTGACAGAGTGAGACTCCATCTCAAAAAAAAAAAAAAAAAAAATTATAAGGGAAAATGTGAAGGCTTAGCTTAACAGTCATGTGTTCTGTTTCTATTTAGCCATTTGATTCTACATGTATCTGAGCCTTCCTCTTTGATTATGAGGATTTTTTGAGACAGAGTCTCGCTCTGTTGTCCAGGCTGGAGTGCAGTGGTGCCATCTTGGCTTACTGCAACCTCCACTTTCCGGGTCAAGCTATTCTCCTGCCTCCGTCTCCTGAGTCGCTGGAACTACAGGCATCCACCATTATGCCTGGCTAATTTTTGTATTTTTAATACAGACAGGGTTTCATCACCTTGGCCAGGCTGGTCTTAAACTCCTGGCCTCAGGTGATCCACCTGCCTGAGCTTTCCAAAGTACTGAGATTACAGGTATAAGCCACTACGCCTGGCCCATTATAAAACTTTTAGTAGGAGTAGGTAAGATTCCTCCGTAGAAAATTTAGAACCTTGAAGAAATGAAAGCCTGTGTTTGAGTTTTAACAGCTTTTCAGGTAAGCACTGGTCCCTCTGTCAATTTAGGATTACATGTGACCGAAAGTTACAGAAAACTGGAATAAACTGCAGCTTAAACTAATGGAACATTTCCTTTTCCTGCCTGAGAGCAAATCTGGAGACAGGTAATTTGGGGTTCAAATGGACACCCATGATGTCTCAGGGGCCTAGACGACTTGAATTATTTTTCCCTGGCGTTGTAAGGATGCAGCGTCAACCTCACATCTGTTACCACATGGTCACAACATGGCTGCTCCCCCTCCTACATCTCATCTGCGTCCCAGCCAGAGTAAGGACAAAGAAAGGCAAAAGGTATGTGGGGACGGGTCAGTCCTCTCCTTAAGAGCTTTGTCAGAAGTCACATCAAGCAACTTCCGCTCACACATCATTGGTCAGAGCTGTGTCACGATCCACCCTAGGGATAAGGGGCTTGCAAAGATAAAACTCGGCTTGCTACCTTGGTTACAGCCTCTCCCACTCCTCACCACCACCACTGCCGCTCTGTCAGGAAGGAGGAAGCGAAGGTCCTGTTACCGTGCCTGGGTACCGTAATGTTACCAACCCTTGTGGGTCTTTGTGGAGGTTAAATGAGATCATGAACATGAAATGCATGCTGCTGAGGCGGATGCTTATAGACAGAGGGGAGTTTTAGGGTGGTCAGCGGGCAGCATGTCACATTCTTAGCATGTGACATGTTCCATCAAAGAGAACAAAAGCAAACATTGCACATCAACACCATACCAAAAGTGAAACTTAGAACCAGCATTGTGCAGGGGTCAGCTCTTTGCATGTAGGAAAATAACCATCAGGACAGCAGTTCGTAGCATTTGGACACCGCTGCCCTGAACACATGCTGCCTGCCAGGGGCTCCGCTGTTCAGCGTAGTCAGAGCGTGGGATGTAAACGGGCTGAGACGCGACTCTGTCTCAAGTGTCCTCCATGGGGTGCACCAAAGGAGGCCTTGGCATTGGGCAGGCCAGGTCTGGGTTACTTGTCAGCCCTTCCCAGCCGAAGGCTCCTCTGACATGCGTGTGTGATCAGGCAGCCATGCTGGACATTGCAAAATGGAATACCCGAAGCCCAGCTGGGTCATCGCCTGAACCCCAGCCTGGAGCTTCCTCACCCAGGAACCATCTCTCAGTCTAAAGAAAAGCCAGTGAGTGCCTGGCTCTATCTGTGGCCAGCCTCCACTTCTGTGCCTGGGCTGCATGGGTGTTAAATTTTTAAAGTAGTAGGCATGGTACTGTTCCCATGCCTGGGTACGATAATGTTACCAACCCTTGTGGGTCTTTGTGAAGGTTAAATGAGATCACGAATGTGAAATGCATGCTGCTGAGGCTGATGCTTACAGACAGGGGGGAGTTTTAGGTTGGCCTCGAGTGAACCCACTGGGTGTCTGTTCTGCATCTGCCACTGAATAAGTGACATGTTTTCCTCTCTCCAGAGCATGTCCCATGTTCCAGAAGCCTCTTCAAGCCCAAGGACAGCAGTTCAGACAGGGCACTACTAGAGGAAGTGGCTTTCCTGCTCAGTTACTATACCCTGGTGGTGAGTGGCCTGTATGCCACCAGCGCTGCTGCTTGGGGACAATGGGGCCCAGCAATGACTGGCCAAAGGGGGGCCACAGGAGGGTCAGCTGCTTTTTCATGTTCTAAGAATGGGTGTCTTGGCAGATGCTGAATTCCAACAAAACTCTAAAAAATGATAATGCTGATGTTGTGATGGTGATGGTGATGATAATGATGGTGACTGTGATGGTGATGGTGGTGGTGGTAGTGATGATGGTGGTGGTGGTGGTGATGATGCTTGTGATGGTGGTGGTGGTGATGGTCATAGTTGAAGTAATGTAAGATGATGATGGTCATGGTAGTAATAATGGTGGTGATGGTGGTGATAGTGACAGTGATGATGATGGTGGTGGTAATGATGATAATGGTGGTAGTACTGATGGTGGTGGTGGTGATGGTGGTGGTGATGGTGGTGGTGGTGATGGTGGTGGTGATGGTGGTGGTGGTGATGGTGGTGGTGATGGTGATGGTGGTGGTGGTGGTGATGGCGGTGGTGGTGATGGTGGTGATGGTAGTGGTGATGATGGTGGTAGTGGTGATGGTGGTGGTGATGATGGTGATGGTGGTGGTGGTGATGGTGGTGGTGTTGATGGTGATGGTGGTGGTGGTGATAGTGGTGATGATGGTGATGGTGGTGGTGGTGATGATGGTGGTGGTGATGGTGATGGTGATGGTGGTGGTGGTGGTGGTAGTGATGGTGGTAGTGATAGTGATGATGGTGGAGGTGGTGATGGTGATGATGCTTGTGATGGTGATGGTGGTGGTGATGGTCATCGTTGAAGTAATGTAAGATAATGATGGTCATGGTAGTAGTAATGGTGGTGATGGTGGTGATAGTGATAGTGATGATGATGGTGGTGGTAATGATGATAATGATGGTGGTAGTGATGGTGGTGGTGGTAGTGGTGATGGTGGTGGTGGTGATGATGGTGATGGTGGTAGTGATGACGATGCTGGTGGCCCTGGAGCTGATGGCACTGCTGGTGGTGGTGCTGGTGCTGGCAGTGGTGATGATGATGAGGAAGAGGGTGGTGATGATGGAGATGGCAGTGATTGTGATGATTTCTTATTGGTACAGAATAACTATATATTTTGAAGGTATGTGTGATATTTTGATTCATATATACAATGTATAATGATCAAATCAGGGTAATTGGGATATCCGTTCCCTTGACCTTTATCTTTTTTTCATGTTGGAAATTTTCCAATGCTTTTCTTCTGGCTATTTAAAAATATACAATAAATTATAGTTGACTATACTCAACCTACTTTACTATCAAACACTAGAACTTATTCTTTCTAATCACACCTATTAACCAACCTCTCGAGGACTTTTATTGCACAATCACAGCTTTCCCCTCTAGACAGAAGCACAGCCCTGAAAGATGTGTTATCTCACCATCTTGGAATGAGAGGCGAACCCATCACTACCGCAGACCGATGCCATTGCCAAGCCCCTGCCTCTGGGTTCTCCTCATGGATCAAGGATCTATGTTGAGCTTTGGAGGCAGAAGAAAGGATGCAAACAGCATGCTTCATGGAAAACATGTTTTCTCCTTTCTCACAAATTCTGACGTTATCAACTTCAGGGGCCTGAGGAAAACAAGATATAAATTATCTTGTTGAGTTGTGTGTGCCCGTGAGTGTAGAAGACTGCATGACTGTGCAGTGTTCCTGTCCTCCTGTGTGGGGTTTGTACTTTCTCACCCCCCACCCAACATCAGCCTGGCCTTGTAACTTGCTTCGCAATGAAATGTGAGTGGATGTGACACATGCCCCTGCCTAGCAGAAGTCACAAGGGATACAGCATGGTTCTGCCATGACTCCTTGCCCTGTGCCATGTGACTGGGATGTCCCAGGTAAGAGCGGCTCCTTCAGGTTGGGTCACAGGATGAAGATGGCATGGAGCAGGACAGAGGCCAGCTCTTGGGGTTTGTGAGCATGAACAAGAAATCCACCTTTGTTGAGTTAAGCCAACTCTGGGAGTTGTTTGTTGATGCAATAAAATCTAGTGCGAGCTGGCTGATGTGGTTTAGGAATTGATTTGGAAGAGGCATCAGTAACCCAGACTCAAAGCTGGTGTCCAGCTTTGCCACTTCTGCATGGAGCTGATGGTCTCCAAACCCCGATCAGCTGCTCCCGGGTCAGACCTCTGGCTCTACCTGCTTACCTGTCATCCGTTTCAGGAGCGCCTCTTCCCAGGCCACGATTGCTCCCAAAGACCCTCACCCACGAATACTTTCTTCAACCCCTTAAGGCTCAGTCAACATGACGAGTGCAGCTCTCATCCCCTCTACTCAGGGCTCAGTCAACAAGATGAGCACATAACTTCACCTCCCATACTGGGGGCTGTTAACAGGATGACATACTCCCACCTCCTCTATTCAAGGCTCAGTCAACAAGAGGACCACATATGCACAGCTCTCCCACTAGTGGAACTGGGCCTTCAGGGCCAGTGACAAGCTCATTCGGCATCTCTTCGTGTCACGTGAAGCCAAGTGTATGACTCTTTCATGTCCCCAATTCCCCGATTCCTTTAAATCCAAACTGTTTATCTCAAGTCCCATCCCGAGGACGCTGTGACGTTCTGCACTTTCTCCTGCTCCCCCTCCGTCCGCGGCCAGCGTCCTCTATAATGCGAGGAATAAAGGGGCTATTTCCTAAGTCTCTTTCCAAGTTAGTCAGAGGGTCCCAGTTCTTCCTCTTACTCCTCCGGCCACTGTGGCCATGCCCTCTGGCTGCCCCGCAGTAGAGACACCCCTTCTGTCACTCCCCTACACACCTGCAGCACAAGCTGGACTTCCCTGGGGGTTTTCTGGAAGGGACAGAGCTGGAATACAGGCCAGAAACCTGAGATTCTTGTCCCAGTCACAGCTATGAGAAAGTAGAAGGGCTGCACCGGTCACCTCGGCACCCCCCGCCGGCTCTCCGCTCTGGGGCTTCCCTGGTGTGCACAGCCCCACTCTTGGACCCCCCTCTTCTGTCCCGTTTCCCACCCCAAACCTTCCAAACCCAGCAATGCCAGGGGACTGCTTTCAAATCCTGTCGCCTTACTTTGCAATGCAAATCAACCTTCTTTCTCTCAGTCCCTCTCCATCTAAATAGAAGAGGCAAACCTATCAACACAGAGCATCCATAAAAGCCTTGACATGAGAGTTTTTCTCCATCCTGGGCCAGATCAAGTTCTTTGGTGGCCTCTTTCCATCAGCACTAGGAGGCTATCACTTCTCAGAGCAAGCCCAGGAATCCCTCTCTCTTCCTCTCTCTGATGCAGGAGTTTCTTCAACAGGCAGTTCCGACCTGGCGTTTTCTCTCGCCCGGTCCTGGACCGCAGGATGACTGTCCCGTGAGTCATTTTGTTGGTAGGAGTGCAGCCTCTTGCTGCCCACCTCTGCCGAGGCTTGACCTCTGCCCTGCACTCAGCTGGGTCGTGTCGTGCAGCTGTGTGCAGCCCCACCCAGGAAGCCACTCAAGTGCCAGGGCAGGAAACCCCAAATCCGCAGCACATAGCCTCCGTGCGAAGGAAAAGTGACTGGGTCACCCCCCTTACCCCTGACAGCTGTGAGCTGCTTCATGTGGGTTTTACTGGGTGAGGGGAGCCAGGGAGACAGGAGAGTCAGGGAAGAGACTCCTGTGAATGCTTTCAAGAAACTTATAATAATTGTAATCAGCATTTTCCCTTCCATTTAAAATCACAAACTTAGCTACTTAATCAAATGTCATGGTTAAGACACATTTACCTCCTCGGGAGAAAAATGAACGATGGCAGCTCAATTTGGCTTCGGATGGGTTTTAAAAATAGTCAAGTCTGTGAAGGCCATTAGATAAATGGCCTCAGAGAGCTTCAGAGAGGACCTCCTGCAGGGGGCTGCTGACTCCTTTGTTGGGAAAATTGCGGAGGGGACTCAGTGAGGAGACCACAGGGCTTCCCCAGGGTTCCAGGGTGTGGACTTCCCCGTGGGGAGGAGGGGCCAGAGTTAGCAGGGTGACCGGAAGGGATGACCACAGCATGGACATCCAAGCAGCTCCCTTTTGTATCTGCCGAAGCTGGGAGGCGTGTGTGTGTGTGTGTGTGTGTGTGTGTGTGTGTGTGAGTGTGTGTGTGTTGGGTGGGAGTGACATACACAGAACTTTCCTGTCCCCAAGGAAAGAAAAATGAACCCATCAGAAATATAAGTGCCATCCAAGTGTAAGAAACCAGTGCTATAAATGGTGAAACACAAGTTAATGTTTCGTTGTTTCACAGTACGTTCAATGATTTTGTCATTTAAATAATAATAATAGGTGGACTGCTCTTTTTGGAGAGAGGTCAACGTGAGTTACCCTAGAGAAAAAGGGAGCCAGTGTACCCAGGTTCTAAATCACCGTTTTGAGCCTGGATGGGGGCAGGGGGCACCCTCCCTCCCCACAGGCTGGAGGCCCTCACTCACCAGGGGATCAGCTGTGGTCTTCAGGCTCTGGGTCCCCTGGAGCCTTCCGCAGGGCCTGTTCCCGTCTCCGTTTGCAGAAAACACTTCCTTCTACTATTTTCTTCGCCCAGAGAGTCCCAGGGTACTTGGATAGAGTTCAACGGGGCTTTCAACCCGGATGGGGAAAACTGGCATCTTTATTTAACCCTAACTGAAACTTGGCGCTTCCTTTCATTATAAACGAAGGTGGCAGAACACGGTGCCTGCGACCCTCCAACAGAGAAAGTGCGGGCATTTTCATATCACATGGCCGCGGCTGCAGGTACCTCAGAGTGTTGTGACTGCTGCACATCTGCACATGGAAAGGAAGGCAACATGGAAAGGATTGCTTGCTAAGTGTGTTAATGAAAAATACACACGGCTACATCAGAAATGCGTTTTTATTCCTCTTCTGATCATGCATTTGCATGGAACTGGTTTCCTAGTAATCCTGGGCTTCTTCATCTATCCCTTGGAAGGTATTCTGAGAGGTCAGCAGGTGCCCACAGGCCGCCCAGGGGTTCCTGGCGCCCACGAGGTCCGGTCCGGGGCCCCTCCCTGCCCTGGCTCCACGTCGGTCCGCGGAGCGGCCTCCTCCAGGCCCCTCCGGGTGCAGCACCGCCACCTCGTCCCGCTAGGTGGCAGCACTGCGAGCGCCTCCTTCCCCGCCGTCCGCCCTGGGCCCCGCCGGCTCCGGGACCTCCCGGTCCCCTTGGCCTCTTAATGGGACCCGCTCCCTCACACCTCTCAGGGAGACGCTCTAGGGGACGATGGCCCCCGGGCGGCCCGGCAGGGAAAGTGCTGACTCACCCTGCTGCCTCTCTGGTCCACGGACCGGCTCACAGACCACCATAGCCACACCGTATGTGAGGCCTTCTCATGGAGCTCTGCAAACGCTTCCCCCAGGAGGGGCTGTGGGACCCATCTTACAGAAGAAGAGACCGAGGGTCAGAGAGGCCAGACAACCAACTCCGCCAGGACCCTGAGTTAGCAAGCGCCGGCCCCTGGTCTACGCACGTCAAGACTGGCCGTCCTGCCACCACGCCGTCCTGCCTCTGGCCCTCTCCTGGGAGTCTTGATGGGGAGCCACTGCCAGCTTCTTGCCTGGGCAGAGTCCAGTCCTGTGCCTGGCTCCTCAAGGCTATGGGCAAAGGTCCTGGAGGTCTGGCGGGGTGAAAGGGCTGCCTGGGAGACTGAGCCCCAAGCCACGGTCTTCCTGGGAGACTTTGTCCTAAGCCATGGTTCTCCTGAGAGACTGAGCCCCAAGCCATAGTCCCCCTGGGAGACTGCGCCCCAGCCAGGGTCCTCCTGGCTCTGCCCTTCCACCTCCTCACTGGCTGCCCCTCCCAGGGAGGCCTCACCTGTGAGTGCTCCCCTTCCACCCCCACGGCTGTCGCATGGGCTGGGGCTATTCCAGAGCTGACCTGGGTCAAGCCCCTGCACAGAGCGCAGAGCAGAGGCTTGGCTTGGTGTCCCCTGCCCGCCCCTTGTACCTTCTTTTCCCGGTGAAGGGTGGCACCAGCGTCCTTTCCAAGGCCCCTTTTCTGCACTGCCCTCAGCCTGCAGAAGATTAAAAAGCAGGGCTCTGTCGTGGCTTCTCAAGTCGTCAGGGGTCTGCGGAGGATTCCGCCCCTTGTCACTTCTCAGTCAAAGGCCATCACCCAGTGTCTGTCTTCCTTTAAGTGCCCCACCCCCCGACTTTTGATTATTTGGAAATACAGCCTAACCAGGTAGGCACAGAGGAGTCCTGGCCTGGAAGGGAGCCGGGAAACGCCGGTGGAGAGTCTGGGAGGCCCAGGCTCCCTGGAACTTTCCAGTGACTCCTCTGGAGCCAAGGCCTGGCCAGGCAGCAGCTGCACGGGGCAAGGAGGGATCGTGGGGTAATAGGGACGTAGGGCCGGGCTGGGTTAGGGGCAGAAGCGCTGAAGCTCTGATCGGGAACACGGTGACTTCATCCACGCAGGAGCCCGCGCAGCGAGCAGCGAGTTCCTCGTAGGGGACCCTCGGACAGACGCTCCCGCGCGGCCCGCGTGGCGAAGCTCCGCCCTGGGAAACTTTTCGCGCAGCCCCCGTTCCATGCGTCCCCACCCAGTCCTTCCTCGGGGCCGCCCCCTCCCCAAAGTAGCTCTCCCGGTCCACTGGGCGCTCCTGTAACCGGGTCGGACCTCGGACTGCCTCGCCTGCCACACGGTTACCCTGGCAACACCATTCGGCGGCGCTCGGCGGTCCAATCGGAGCCTGCGGCCTCTCTGGAGCTTTTCGCTAGGTGGGGACCGGGACGGGACCGGGGATGGGGAAAGGGGCGGAAGGAGCCCCCGCCTGCGCAATCGCCCCTGCCGGGGACAGCCCCCTCCTCCCCACTCGGCGATCCGGCCACCGGGAGGTGGGGGCGGCGAGCAGGAACCGGGGCCGGGTCGGGGACTCAGGCTCCCGTTCGAGGGGCGGGGAAGGCGGGTGGTGACGTGAGCCGGGCCGGGCGGGCGGAGTTGGGACCAGCTCCGGGAGGCGGGGGCGAGCGCTCGGAGAAGCAGACGCGAGGAGGGAGGCGGCCAAGTAGCGCGGGCGGCTCTGCGGCGGGCGCGGTGGGCGCGGGCGGCGGGGCCCCGGGATCCCCGCGCGCCTCCTCCGCGCGGCGCCGCCGCCGCGCGTCCCCACGCCCCGCGCTCCACGGCGCCCTCGCCCCGCGCGCCTCCCGTGCCCGCCTCCTGCCAGCCTCCGGGCCGCGGCCGTCTGCAGAGCGAGCGCCCAGACGGAGCCCCAGGGCAACTTGAGTGGCGCCGATCGGCGGCGGAGCCCGCGACAGAGCCCCCAGACCCGGCGGCGCTCGGAGGGGACCCGCGTCCGCCCGCGCCGCGTCGCCCCAAACCCTAAGCAGCGCCGCCCCATCGGCGCGGAGCTCCGGCTGGAAGCAAGAGCCGCGCGCCGGGAGACAAGCACTGTGCGCGGCAACGCCGCCAGCCTCTCTCCTCGCCGCCCCGGAGGGCGAAGCCGCGGCTCCCCGGCCCCTGGCTGCGCGGCAACAGCGCCGGAACGCGCTCCCCCTCGCCGCCGCCTTCGCTGTGTCACCCGCGGAGGGGGCCGCGAGCCCCGCGCCGGGTCCGGAGGATGTGCGCCCCCGCGGGCCGCCCCGCCTGAGCCATGCGCCCCAACGGCGGCGGCGCGCCGGCCGGCATGGAGCCCCGCGCGGCCGCGCTCTGACTCGCTGTGCGTCCCGCGGCCGGCGGGCGGCGGGAGGCGGCGGACAGAGAGCCGGAGACCGGCGCCGCGGGACGGAAGCGAGCGGGCGCGGGCGCCGCGCAGATGGCCCGGGAGAGCCAGGTCTGAGGCCCCGCTCCCCGAAACGTGACCATGTGGATTCAACAGCTTTTAGGACTCAGGTGAGCGGCCGGGCCAGCGCCGGGTGTGTGCGGGCGCGTGGGTGCCGGGCTGGGCGGAAGCGGCGCTTCGCTCTATGTTGCAAATCAAGGGACCCCTCTTTGCTCCCCGAAAGCGGGCAGCGGGGTGCACCGGGAGCCGGATAGGGGCGTCCGCCAGGAGCCCGGAGCCTGGGGCGCCGCGGCCCCTCGGGGAGCGGCCGAGTCTCCAGGGCTCCGCGCGTCCGGGGTCCGGGCAGCTGTGCCCACCCCAGCAACCCGGGCAGTGGGGCCGGCCGGGCGCGCCCGCAGCTCCAGGCGCCAGCAGCGCAGTGTCCTGGCCGGCTGCCCCGGCGCGCCTCCTCCCCGGGGCCCGGGGCGAGGCGCGGGCCGCTGGGCGCGGCGGGCGCGGGAGCCGGGGGCCGGGGCTGCCGGGGAAAGCTAAAGCTCCGGGCTCCCAGCGAGAGCTTCGCAGGCGGAGTTGGAGGAAACCAGAGCCCAACAGCCACTCCGCCCGCCCTTCTCCTTTCTCAGGACCCCATGGCTGAGCAGGGGCCTCCCAGGCTCCCAGCTGCCCACCCAGCTGTTGGCAGGTGACCCCCGGGCCCGACGGGCGCCCACAGCTCGCTGGCAGCTGGGGCGAGAGAGCTGGGGCTCTTGGGGCGCGCGGGCGGCCACCTTCCTCCAAACACACACGCACACACGCCCGCCGGCGCGCCCGGGGCTAGTCTATGTCTGGGACTCTAGGGCCAGATGGAACGGGGAGTTCGAGCCTAGAGCCCGTGGTGGGGGTGTCCAAAAAGACCCTTTTTGTCAAACTTTGCCAGCCCGCGGGGGTTCTCAGGCTTCTCCAGCTTCTGCCTGGGGCGGCCCGGGGCCCACCCGAGCGCGGCTGTCCTTTTTTGCCGGGCAGGCTGCCTCTAAGCCCTCGCCCTCCTGCCGGGGCATCCAAAGAGCTCGTACATTTGGGTCCCGGGTTGGAACCGAGAGCGGGGAGGACGTAGGTGGAGGCGGAGAGCAGCGTGCGGTTCTCGAGTTTGTCCGCTGGGATGCACTGCGCTCCCGCGTTGGGGACGAAAAGGCCAGCAGTTGTTAGAGCCGACTGCTGGAGCCGCCCCCACCCTGGGATAAAGCTGCGGGGGGAGGGAGGCGAAGGGAGGGAGGATCTAGTGCGTGTCCTGATTTTAAGAAATCGGAAGGGGACGGGGACGCCAGGTGTTTTCTAGTGACCCTTGATTTATGAGCCAGAGGTGAATACGGCGTAACACATGTAGTGAACATGGTCAGATGTTATTATTAGCCTCCCTTCTCGCAGTGGCCGATCTTGCTGTGGGCTTCAAAGGTTCATCGTGGAGCCGATTGTGTGGGATGCTGGATACTGGCCGGGCCCGAATCCCTAAGTGTGCTTGAGCTAGACGAGGTTTAGGCTTGGACCGTTCCGGGATGTCGGCGAAATGGAGCGAGGAGGACAGCTTTGCGGGAGTGACCCTGATCCAGGTGCCCTGCAGGCCTGCCGTCCCTGCTCTGCCCCGGACTGTCCCAGGTCTCAGCAAGACCTCCAAGGCCTTGTGAAGGACCAGACGGGTCCCCACCTTGGCCAGCGGCAGGTCTTCAGCTCCGACCTGCTTCTTGAGCTGCCATCTGCCAGTTCATTCCTGATCGCAACTTATTTGAACATTTTTTTAATTGCTAGGTTAAATGATGAGTACATTTTGATAAATGGAGAGGAGAGCAAATATCTTGAAAGAAACCTCTCTTTTCGTTTAAAATTTACTAAAACAGTTCCTCTAAAGCATCCTCAAGCCTGGTCTTGGGATTTTGCTTTAGGAAATAGTCCTGTTGGTGATTTTGAAGTCTGACCTTTGTCCCCACCCCGCCACCCCCCGGATGTTACCACCGGAGATTTTCTCTAAGTGTGCCTTTAAGGAC